AACTTCAAATATGTTGAAAATAATTGTTTAGTTCCAACACTGGACACTTGAAATTGAACTTTTAAAACGAAAAGAAATGAATGTAGTTGAAAGAATACTAGTTATACCGTAATTTTTTTCCTTTATTTAATTAAGATGACGATTCTAAACCTAAATATCTTCTAGAAATCAATGATATCTCAAAATGTAGTAGTATCGTGGCAAAGTAGGCAGTCTTGTAAAATTCAAGATTGTAAATTAGAAAACTTTAAAAATAAATACCCCAAATTAAATTTTTGGTAGAGCTTTTAACTTGGAATCCTCTGACGTAAAAAAAAAAACTGTTAGTCCAAAAAAGTTCCATATGCAATAGCTCAACTATTTCAAACTAGATTGATTTAAATTTTATAATGCTCTTTGGTATTTTATACAAAAATTAACTCCAGTAGCATTGAAAATGTTTTCGACTGTAAAAACTACACAAAATTAGCTTAAGCTATTAAAATATATCAGAAATACATTAATTTTTTCCATTTTAATATTCAATTTGCAATTTTACTGCATCCTTTGCATTTTAATATACGACAATCCAGCTAAAACGCATACAACTTTAATTATTGTATTTAATAAAATGCTTTCAAACTAAAATTATACAACTTCTGTTTAATATTAAAAATTGCATATACACAGGCGAAAATTTTTTATTTTTCAAGATAAACAGAAAAATATTAGAAAATTTTTTAAATTTAAATATAAAAATTAATCACACGAAATTAAGTTTTATGTAGTTATGTATTTACATATGTATATATGTAAAAAATAGTCGTCTACAAGTTATTGCCTTAAATTATTAATTAAAACTAAAAAACATAAATGTAAAATCAATAAAACTTTAAGAGCTACGATTTCCTATATATTTGACTTCTATATTTTGTCTTACAAATCAACTGAAATTAATATTTATTAAAGTTTTGATTAATATAGTAGTCTGGTCATTAAAAATTAAAATTTAAATATGTACAAATAAAAATTTTTAAATTTTTAAAAATTAACACCACAATTCCTTTTGTTTTGTACAATGGAATTAAAATTTTTTTTATTTATTTCAGGCCCTTATAAAAGGCAATATCATACCAGAGAGAGTTCTCACATATTATCTAGGAACATCACGAGAATTGGACGGAAAGCTTTTAAAATTGGCAACTACTTAAGAATAATTAGTTCAGATAGAGTTAATTGAATCCAGAAGTGAAGTTCTAAAATTTTTACGCCAATATCATATGTTTTGGACCATATTTAGATCCCGGAAATAAATACAAATGCGTTCAAATTGGATTTTTGCAACAATTTCCATTATTTTTAAACAAATTGTAAAAATTTGTTCTTTTCTTACCGTATCTTTACACATATGTATGTACATAAATGCATGAATACTCGGATTTAATTTATAAAGTCATTAATGAAATTCCTTAATTTAGATTACATAGTAAGAGTAAATTTCTTTTTAATTCATTTTATAAAATGAATAATGAACGAATGAATGCGCATGAATTTTTATGTATGTACACAGTACAAATTATATAAAATTAAAGATAATGTATGCAATTTGTAAATCTAGGTATATATACAACAAATACATTCCCTTTGCATGCACTTATGAACGCATTAAAAAAACTAAACGATCCATGAAACTATATACGTATGTATGTGTATATAAATGTGCTATATGTATGCACCTCAGTGAGCTCATTATTCTATAAATAATATTTTGAATGGAAAATGTATTTATGTATTCGTAAGATCTTTACTTTATAAGATTGATTTATAAGCTTTTAAACGCATTTATTTTCAAATTTAATTCAAGTGAAATAATGCAAATTTGGAAGTTGATTAAGATTATTTTGGAGTTATACAAGAATCATTCTTAAATTTTATTTAATTAAAATCAAAATTTAAGAAATTAGAATTAATTTAGAAATCTTCCTGATTTGTAAGTGATAAATATAAAAAAGAGTAGGCCTGTCAACTATCTTCAACTAAGAAGAATGAGACGGCATTGTACCAGCCATATACAAGAGAGAATGTACTGACTTTGACAGATATATTTTGAAACTTCTTTTGTGACAATTCGTACTAAAATTTTATATGAAAAATCAAAATTTTTTTAATTTTTCAATTATGTTAGTGATAAAACTTAAAAGTTTAACAGGGCCCACCGAAATAATTAAACAAACAACAAAAAAACAATAAAATTGCATTATAAATAAAAACCAATAATTTTTTATGAATATAACAATAAAAAATCATTAAAAAACATAAGTAATACAAAATTGTAAATTAATATTTTTTAAAAGCTATAAAAAAACAAATTCAGGAAGTCATAAAAATTGAAAATAGCGAGAAATAAATTTTCTTTTTTCTTCTTTACTTAAACCGTATTCGAACTGAAAGTGTTTAAATTAAAAATTATTTATTCCTTAAATACTAAAGAATTTTTTAAATTTTTGCAAAAAAATTCCTCCTTTATTATTTATTCTTTATTAAACTTAAAAGTATAGTTGCTAATACCTTGAAGCATTTTTTATTTAAACATAACAATCTTATGATTTCATAGCCCATAATGACCAAGAAGCATGAATTTTTTTTGCAATAAAGAAGCACTAACAGCACTATTTTATTAGTTTTTTCTTTCTTTTAAATATTTTAAGAATTTTAATTTTATTATTAAATTTCATTTAAATAAACCTACAATAATAACTTTGTAATAATATTATACTAACAAATTAACTAAGAAAAATTCATCAACTATACAATTTTAACTTTTATTTTCTTCTATTTATTTATAATTTTTAACGCTTTTATATCAATACACTTATGATGTGGCCCAGGCATTCTTTGTATATCAGAATATATGTAAAATAAGTAAATTATATGGATATTACAAATATGTTCCACGGCTATGATATGTAAAAAAAAAAAATAATGTTAAGGCAACCAAGTGTAACACGGAGATCATTAATATTTACAGAGCAGTCAACCAATTTATGTAATAATAAGACCTATACTAACTATTACTGTTCTGCAATACAAATAAATAAATAAAGTAAAAAATGGTAAGTAAGTATGAAAAATTTTTAAAATTTTTCTTTTCTGAAAGAACAAGATTTAAATTACTGAAAATTAAAATAAATTTTCCAATATTTGTTTTACTTTTATGTTGTTGTTTGCAGAATATCCAAAATTTCAATATTATATTATAGTTACTCTAGGCAGCGCAGAGTGTGTTTGCAGTTCTTGGAGGTGGCATAATAGATTTTCTAAGTCCCACCGCTTCATTACTGCAATGGTCAATCTACAATCTACATTGGTAAAAATTAAATGCAAATTTTGCAAATTCTTTTAGGGAAGCTAAAGAAAAAAATTATTTAAATTGTTCTGTAAGCAAATGTGAAGCAAGCATTTAAATCGAGAGTTTTTAACTACATAGAATTTGAAATAGCTATTTACAGGACACTAATAAATTATACATGTATACATACTTACATACATACATATGTATTTATATATGCAGTCTTTATCTTTACTCTTAAACTAGATATGTACGTACTTTGCTCTTCATGTTCCAAACATAAATTTTTTTTTAATTGCATAAATTGTTCTTTCCCTAATTTAAATCATCAGTTTATTGCTTATTTTATGTTTTTTTCAAAAAAGAGGACAATTGACAACACTACAGAACAAAATTAAAAAATCGTAAAATTTCCTTTAATTGGTTTATTCTTTCTTACTTTAATCATAAATATCCCAAAAAATTTTCACTGAATTACTTCATACTCCTAAATTTATGTTAAATTATTGCAATTGAAAATTACCTTAAAATTAAACTAATTCAGCTATTTGTAATCAATATAAAAATTATTCGAGACTTGATTTTTTTTCTAAATATACCCAATTTTTTTATTACTCTTAACTAATTTAAACTCTTTTTTTTTTATCCCTTATCTCTTCAATATAATTTTCGAAAATATTTTGTGTTTTTGAGATTCGAAAAATTATCTCTCATTGTTAAATATATTTCTTTTTTTTTATTCTCTTATTTTTATATTTTTTGACATAAATTTCGCTGTCATATTAATAATTCTCGTTTAAGAAAAATTACTGGGAGTTGTGTTGCTGCCATGAAATTAAAAATTTGCATGCATTTTTAAAATTCGTGAGTATTTTTATAGAAAAATACGAGAACAATAATTTTGCTATATTTTTATAATTAATTTTACAAAAATATTAAAACTTTTTATTTACTCAATGTTTTCATTTACAATGGTGAATTTATAATATTCTTACTATTTCCAATAAAATATGTATATAAAATGTTACAAAATATCTAGTTTTTTTAAATTTAATTTTTAAATTTAATTTCCTTTTTATTGCTAATTCTGAGCACCATAATTGTAAACCAAGATTTAAATAACGAAAAATATTTCAAATTGAATATTGAAGAAAAAAAATTATAAATTAAATCGAAATAGTAAAGAATTTTTTATCAATGCTATTGTGAATATTTAATTGAAATTGAAATTTATCGAAATATAATTGTGAATTAAACACAAAATTCATTCTTCCTGTTAATCATTCCAATTAACATTTTTTCGTTTAATATTCTGTTAAATATTTTCTCTTTTTCCTAATTCTCTATAACATTTTTATCGATTATCTTATACAAAAACCATTTTATTCTAAAAACCAGTTATTCTCAAACTATTTAAATTCCATTAAATTATCTCATTTTCGAAATTGAGAATTGTTTTTTTTTAACCGCTTCAGAGAAAAACGGTTAACAGTATTTGAATGTAAACAACCTTAAAAATGAAAACAAAATACATATGTATGAATAATAAAAACAAAAAAAAATAACAATAATAATAAGAAAGAAAAAAGAATAGAAAATAAAATTGTTCATATTCTATAAGAGATTTTCTGACAGGCATTTCTACTCTTTAGTCAGTTGAGTGAAGATCAGTTCCACACACAACAAAAAAAAGTAAAAGAATAAATTTTTTAAATTTTTCATTTTTGGTTAGAACATTTTTATTTTTTGTTTTAAATAAAGTTATAAGTTTGGTTTTTTTAATAGAAATATAAAAAAAAAATTTATTTAAAAAGTTATTCAAACTTTTTCTCTTCTAAAAATCTAGAAAATTTAAACAACAACAACAACAACTCCTCCTAAGGAAGGATTAGTAATTATCAAATTTTTTTTTTATTTTGTTTTTATTGTATACATATATAATAATAATAATTATTAAAAATACAAAGTGAATTTTTAAAAATTCTTAAAAATAAATATGAAATTTCAAATTTAAATAAAATAAATTTTTTTCTTACAATGCAAAAAATAATAATTTTTAATAAAACGCAAAAATTTTGCTGTGCGGTGAACTTCTCTATAAAATTTTCGAATGTTTCAAAATATACATACATCTGTACATATATACATACATGTGTATTCATATAAATATAAATTTCTGCTTTAATATAAAATAATATATAAGTGGATGTATGTAAATATATAATTGTATAGTAATATGTGGGAATAAAAGAATATAAAAAACAACAACAACAAAAAAAAATAGCAAATAAATAAAATAAAAATAATAAGTGATCTACATCAAAAAAAAAATAAAGTGTTGCTTCCTATATTATGTACAATCACACTGACTGACTGACTCTGACGACGACTGACTGAAAAATTATTCTCGAATTAAAAAATAAAATTTAAAAAAATTAAATAAAAAATTTCTTTATATTTTTCTTTTGTTATTTTTTTTTTTTTACTTTTAATATCATTTGTACATTTATAGAAGCATTTTTTAAATAATTATACAGGTGGTTTTATCATACAAAAAATTTTTATATTTATAAAAGTCTTATACAGAATTAAACGTACATATGTATGTTTGGATACATGTACCTTCTACCTACCCTACATAATACGTACGTACATACATACATACATACAAACTGTAAATAAATACATTCAATATGTAATATACCTACATTCCAAATTAATAATAAAAAGAAAAATAAAAAATAAATAGAAATTAAAAATTTTTTTTTTTTTAATTAAAAATAGAAAATTTGCAAATTTTCAAGGATTTTCTTTCGTTATCAAAATTTACAACACAGAAAAAAAAAACACACGAAGAAAATGAAACAAAGTGAAAAAATTTCATTTCTATTTGAAAAATGCGATTTCATTGTGTATGAACAGCAAAAAAAAACAAGAAAATCATAAAAAAAAACTATTATGAGTGCGATAAATAACAAAATAGTGCAAAATTAGAATTTTTTGTTTTGTTTTTGTTTTTATACAATTATTCTTTGATTCACACTTTTGATTATTGTTTTTATTATTTTGTACATTTTTTTGTCTCCTTTTTTTTTTTTTTTGCTTATTTTGATTAAGTGAATCTCTCTTTTTTTTTTTTTTTTCTGTGTAAAACTGTGGTGGATCATTATTATTATTGCGAATTAATATATCTGTAAAAAGAGAGAGAAAAAATAAATACCAGAATAGATAATAAAAAATAATAACGAGAAAAAATGTAGTAATAATAACAAAAAAAGAGCAAATAAAATACACATATGTACATACCTACATATTTACAATTTTATGGAATTTTTATTTGTTTTTTTTTTCTTGTTATTATTATTATTACAAAATAAAATAATTCTCCTATTATAGTTTTGAAAAAATGTCAGTACAACAAGAATGTAGAGAGACAACATCACTTTCAAATAGTAATAATAATCATAATAATAATAATCATAATAGTATAACAGTGACAACAGAACAAAATAATCGACCACAAACAACAGGATCAAAATATGAAGAATTAAATATTATTGGAACAGGTAAATATGTAAATAATTAGTCAATAATCAAATAAGTAAATTTTTGTTTAAAATGCAATTAAATGACATGACAATATAAGCATATTCACAGTAGGTATTATTAAGTATTTATTCATAATAGTTAAGTTACTGTATTATTGACATAAGATTGAATTCATTGTTGACATTAGGTACAAATATTTTGTTTTCTACATGTCATTTGAGAATTACTTAATTATCATTAAATCAAACAAGATGACAATTACAGTAAATTTAATACTCAAATCTCTTGACATGCTATTTAAAATTGATTGAAAGGTTTTTTTTTAATTCCTAACAACTTACATACACAAACTTATTAAAATTGTATTACAATGTACATTATAAATATAATTGCTTCCTTGCTATTTTATTACTTGTTTTGGAAACTATATAAATGTAAATAGGTAATTAATACCAATACGAATGCAAACTTAAATATTTAAATAATAAAATTTTCTTATATCCTTTTAAAGATTTATTAATTACTGTCTTACGAAATAAATTTGAAATGCGTCATGTTAAGTTTGTTAACCAACAGCATGGACAAGCAAGCATGTATTCACATTTTTTGCGAAATAAAAACATATTTTTGTTTAGCTAAATAAAACATCAATAAAAGTTAAATACGATAAGTAATTTTTATTCCAGCATATTTTTCAATACTTTGCTAAAATTTCACTTTTATAAATTTTTAATGAGCTACCTACCACAGTTCATAATGTATTTTTGTATATTGTATGTATATAAGTATTACATTTACATTTTATATCCCTTAAAAGAGAGTTGGCACTATACTAAAAAAAAAGAATGAAAATCTCTTTCAATGTGATTCGAATAATATTATTAATTGGTTATGTGATATTGTTCAAGAAGATTATTATTTTTAGAAATTAGAGGTTATGTATACGAGTACTAAAATCTCAATATTAATGAATTAGTAACCTATCGTGATGAGTTTTAGAAAATATAACTGCATCACTTACTTATTTCTTTAATTATTTTCAATAGTTAATAGTAATTCACATTGCCCCAAAAAAATTGTGATTGAACATTTAAAAAGTAATTGCCTAATTTCGATTTTAAACTATTTCCCAAAGGACTTTATTTAGAAAACATTCTCAATGAAAACAAATTCCAAAATTTCTTGTATAAAAGATAAAAATAGTACCTGCGTTTAGATCCTAATAATTTTGTAATTATTGTTTAATTACTCATGATAAATTGGTGTATTTAAGTTTATTTTAGTACTTAAGTACATTATGGAGGTAAGATTAGTGGAATAAATCTGTAATTTTTCACTGACAATAACATTATTTGAATTGATTGCTACCAGAATGGCTAAGAGAAGCACAAAATTCTAAACGACCACCAACAATGGTCTTAAAAAACACACTACAATTACTAATGATTATTAACTCGCACAATTCAACCATTTAAGTGTTTCCTTTTTCATTGATTACAACTACAACTTACAACATATTTCTGGTATCAAATTTGCTACAATTGAATGTAATCAAATTTTACTAAATTTACATCCCTATATGTCAGTATAATAAAAATAAAATCTTTTTTTTTTGTAAATTTTTTTTCATATTTGCAAAACGATAATGTTAAAATTATTTTTTACAATTAAATTTTCTCAGAATTTCATTTTGATTGTATTTGTGTAAATCTTTTATTTTCTTATTTATTCAATTTATTCTTTTAATTTTTTTTTCCTTTATGCTCTCACAACATTATTCACTTTAATATTTGTAAAATTTGTAAGTTTTATTCTATACTTATTTTTCTTATATATATAACTATGTATATATTGATTTGCATTATTATATACTTACATAAATATACAAACATATGTAGATTTACAACAATAATAACATAAGAAAGGAAAATTCAAATTTAATCAACCCAAACCTTCACTTATAAATTTTCTATTCCCTTCACATTGTAAATCTTGTTGCCCATTGTAGTCGCACCATATAGTATTGTTGATATTTTAAGCAAAGAAATAAAAGCCTTGAATCAACATATGTTTTATGTTTCCTTAGCAAATGCAAACATATTCACGCACATATATGGGTACAAGTACTTAAATATGTTAAATAAGTGTAGATCATTAAATTGAAAGGATAAAAATAAGTGTATGTATGTATATGTATGTGAAAACATAAGGCATAAATTTTTTTTTTTTTTAAATGCAATCTCATGACTTTTTTTTCATGTGTTCATGAATTTTGTATTTTTAGTGTGAACGTTGATATTTTATATTTCTTACTACTTCTTAATAAATTTTTAGTTAAAGACGCGCTCGGCTCTATAAATAAACTGGAATTTTTTGTTAAATTTTTGAAGGGCAAATCCTTGTTGTTCTCATCTTTACTTTATTTTTCCTGTTGAAAAAATTTTTTTTCTTATACCTACATGTTAACATACATTTATATCATTTTCGGGGAATCAGTCGGTATTTCTTTTCTTATTCGTTTTATTATAAAACTAAATTGTAAATAAAATAAATTTAAGGTACCGAGAAGGTAAAAGATGCCTATCTTTTTTCTTGTTGTTGTTTTTGTGTCGCTCATTTTTTCCTTTTTGTTTTTAATAAAATCGCATTAAATGAAGGAACTGTACTTTATAATATACTCACATACACTTAAATAGTTTGGTATAAAAAAAAAATTATTCAAGGTGTTTTTCTTAATAATAATGCCCATATATACAAAATATTATTTATTTTGAATTTATACTTATAGGGTTATTAAAAGTGTCTTACTTATTATATAAGTAGTAGAAGTTTAAGATTTAATTTGGGTTAATTAATAAATTAAAAATTTTAGAATTGATTGAAAATTAGTTGACAATTCATTTGACAATTTATCTTGAATTACAGTTATACTGACTGTCATAAAAATAATTATTTATTATTTTACAATTATTTACAGAATTATTGTAATTAATTTTATTAATTCTCTGCAATAATTAAAATAAAGAAATTTTTTTGTCATTATACTCGAGTTTCTACATACGCATGTAAAATATTCAAATTAATTAATTCGTTCCAAAATATAACCAGTTATTCTTTATGAAAACAGGGATGGCAATTAAGTTTTGTAAAATGATTAGATCAAAATAAATTTTAATAAGCATTGGGACAAGATTCCTAAAATTTGAATTCATAATTTTTAGTTTATTTATTTAAATTTTTTGATTTTCGGCTTATCTACACTTTAATATTGTCTCCCATCTTTCAAGTAGAAAAATATTATAATTTTTTTTTACAAGGTATTGGAAAAATTTTAATAATATTTTTTCATACAAATTATTTGATTCTCATACAGAATTAAGAAGTACTAATAAAATCCAAAAGAAAAGAAGAAAATTTTTGTACCAGCCATCCTACATTATTGTAAAAATAGCGAGTATATTAAAAATTATCAAAAAAAAAATAAAAAAAATTATTGAATAACCTCGTATTTTGAAATTTCCTTAATAACCACATGTTAAACTGTATAAATATAATGTATGCATGTTTGTATGTACAATAATAAAATGTTCTCCTAAAATATCTTTTCACCTTTTGATTATACATACTATATACAAAGATATAAGCGTATATCAATATGCATAAATGTTTGTATAAATTTTTTTTTTAATGAATGAAAAAGAGTCTGGTTATTTTTGTAAAATTAAAAATAAATTTGAAGAGATATCGAATTTCTATAATGGCATATACAAACATTCATATGTATATGCATGTATGCATGTAGCCATGTGTGTATGTAAATAAAATGTTGATGCATTTATGGTAAGAAATGTGCAAGACTGGATTGTAAAAAAAATTTTGTATTCAAAAATAAAATTTCGTATTCTCTAAATACCTAAGACATTTTTTTTTTCTGATTTTTTCCTTATTCTTATTATTATTTTTCTTTTTATTTAACAAAAAAGAATTAAAAAAAAAAATTCTTTTAATTTTTACCCTTTTATTTTTTTGTCTCTCTCTTTTATCGTTCAAGCAATTTTTTTGCGTAAAAAAAAACTAAAAAAAAAAAAAGTAGTGTATCCAAACCCAGACTACAATGCACCATCAACCATCACCTGTTTTGTTGTTTTTGCAAGAGAAAAATTGTAATAATAAATAATCAAATAAGACAAAAAATATTTTGTCTGTTTTGTCTGTTGATTTTATGTAATGAAAATTTTCCAGTTTTTGATCTTAAACTCGACCATGAAGCCACCAAGTTGCATTTAAAGTGGTTTTACTTATATACATATATATTTTTTTTTTTGGTATTTAAAGAGCAAAAAGAGAAAAACTTAAAGGAAAATAAACAAAAAAAAAAAATATTTATTGAAAGAAGTTGCATAAAATATTCTTTGAACATTGTTAAAATTTTAATATGGTTACAGTACATGTATAAATATGCATATATATATACATATATATACATGTGAGCATAATTATTGTGTAGGAGCGTTGTATACATAGATCCTTGGATAACATTTTTTTTTTAATTTTTATAAAATAATGTATAGAAAGTTGATTTAAAGGGATAAGAAATGCTGGTGGTATTTACTTACTTAAATATTTTCGCATTAATTAGATAAAATAAAAACATTGTTAAAGAGTTATTCTTATAATTTATAGGATAGCCTTTTTCTAAACGTACTCAAATGGAATATAGAGGAAGTAATATGTTAATTATTTAAATAAACTTGATGTTGGAATGAAATTTTTTGATTTCAAGAGCAATTAATTACATTTGATATTAAACTTTTATTTTGAATAGTTCAAATTTAAAAATGATTGCCTTTACAATTTTTGCTAAATGTTTTAATATGGGGAACCTTTAAACTTTGTTTCTATGAAGTATTTTTGCAAAATGACGCAACATTAAGGAAACATTTGTATTTGAAACAATTTTATTTGCATTCGAATATTAACCATTCACAATAGTTAAAATAATGAAATAGGTAAGCAA